AAGATTGCTTTTGGGTCCTTGCACTTGGCATCAAAGACCTTTTCTTTTTTTTGCCAGAAGCCTTCTTGCCGTTTGAAAAGTCCTCGGTGTCGTGAAGGTGTGACACTTCAAACACCTCTGACATCAAGAATCAGAGACCAGACCCCCCCCACCACTCCGCCCATTGCAAGGCCTTTAGTGCACTGGATGAGCTTCAAGAGCAGCTCGGATCGCAAAGCGTGTGCTGCTTCGAGCCCATTCTGTTTAGCTTTCTTGTGCTCAGGCATGCTCTCCTCAACATTCCCACGGTACAAGTGCTCGAGCATCGTTCCCGTCCGGCGATGCAACGACTTCATACGTTAGCAGGACGCACAATCAGCTCCGCATCATACTCATACCATGCCTGTAGAAAGCTTTGTAGGTCGGCGTCCTGGATTTTCATTGAACTTGAATGAACTCGAGCCGTTTCAACTGGACTCGACTTCGTGTATGCGGCCTCCCTCGAGCAGGAAGCATCAAGTCAAGAGGCCAGATGCAGAAAATGCTGCCTTTGTTCTCGTTCGTTTCAAAGATCGCTTAAATGGAATGCAGTGAATTGCGGTACTGCGACAAAATTGGGGCACTTGACAGGTCCAACCTGGCGCTTGCATGAGCCTATTTTGGAGGAGCAGCCAAGCTTAGGCGACCTTGGCCAACCATAAACTAGAGTTGAGACATGTTGAGAAAGAGCGTCATGCAATGCCAGACTTGATGAGTGGCAGGTTGGGTCTTCACTGTTGAGGCCAGAATTGGACACATTGGTGTGCTTGGCATCCCTTGTCAGAACTGGAATCTGTTTTGAAGTCTGTTTTTCGATTAAAGGCACGCTGTCACGACGTGGTCGGTCCGGTCTGGATGCTTCGCTAGGCCTTGAATCAGCTGAAGCTCCTGGGTCCTGCCACTGGCGCGCGCCTCCACGCACGACGAGAATTGTGCAACAAGGGCATCCCGGAGGACACCCAGAAGGGAGCCCCTGGAGCCGACTTGTGGGATTCGACTCAAATCGACTTGCCAACAGCCAACAGTCTGGAAATTGTTGCCTGTTGCCCTTCACCCTAAAGTTTTAAGGTCGAAGAGTGAAAAGAAAGTAACAGTGATGAAAAATGAGAGAAAAGCCGCCATGACCACTGGCTTGAATCAGCAGATTTGGCTGAGGAGGTCGGAAGTCAAGCCATTGTGGCGTGGCTGGCTTACCAGGTGAATGCATCAGGCTTGGTTCGGCGCACATTTTGACCTTCGGTTTTGACAAGAATGGAATTCCTGATGCTACCTTCCATGAATGAATCAAGCACTTGCAAGTGCGACACAACGACCTAGACAGCAGCTGGCTCCTAGAAACCACAGCAGGTTCTTGCTGATCAGGCGCGGGCCATCGCTGCAGCTTGAACAGGTGTGTGGCCTTTGGCGCTGGATGGGGACGAGAACCCTGGCCTTTGGAATCGCAGAACTGCCTCATCATAAGGATTGGAAAATGTGGAAAAATGGTGCCCAAGGGGCCCTTCAGGTCAGAATCAGTCGGCAACTGTTTGTGGAAACAGATTGCAGAGACTTGACTTGACCCCGGTGAGTCATTGAGGAGTGTTTCAGCTCAGGACAATGAGCCATTTGCTGACGGCATGAACCCAGAGCAATGTTTGGTGCCAATACTTCGTGAGCATGATAGGTGCAGACTGGGAAGTAGACTGGGAGACTGGCATTGTGGTTGAAGAATGTGAATGAATTTATACAATACTTACTGCACTACTGCGCTGAGATCTTGCTGGCGATGCGCTTAGGCATATTTTGTCCAACAGCATTAAGCAAACTTATCAGAAGATACAGTAGTTATCGCAGCGGCGCAGCAAGTCGGCACGGCAAGTGTTTGAACATGATGGACATTGTCTTTCTGGTGTTTGTCAATCTTGAGCAGGTCACAGCATGCAGAGCGGAAGGCGCTTCTGGCTGTTGCTGGAGCCTTGGGCAAGGACGATGAGATGTTCATTGATGCTGCATGCATGCTTCAATTGGTTTGTCACACAAACATGTTGCAGCATGGCCCATGGCGCAGCGAATTGCTTGCAAAATCCTAAAAATACGGTCTTGCAGCGGCATAACAGCCCTGCACGACCGGTAGCAGCAACCCTTTCATGGCCAGGGCAGGGTGGAATAAATGGTAACAGCTTGCAGGACACAAATGTATGCGGATCAGTGCGACTCTATGCTAGCCACACCCTTTGCATCTCATGCCTTGCTGTTTGCTGCCAGTTTCGTGGCTGCTTGGCTCGGATGGAGTGAGAGAGAGAGAGAGCAGTGTTGATCGACCCTCCGGGTGTTTGTTCCTAGTAGTTCTTGCTACTTGCTCCTAGTAGCGTCCTTGCTCCTAGTAGTACGCCAGGAGCCCCTAGTAGCTTCTTGTTGCTAGTAACTTCTGGCTCCTAGTAGTGCAACCAGGAGCCCCAAGTAGCGTCCTTGCTCCTAGTAGCGATGCCAGGTACATTTGTAGCTTGGCACCAAGATGCTTGACGTAACTCAGATAGCCTTGCTTTGATCCAAGGATGCTTTCCAAGAGTGTCCCTCCATATTGAGATGGACCGGTGGTCCGAAACCATGCGCTGGGTGAAAAGGGAGTGCACGTAGCGCTCGGCTGAGAGGGCTGCGTGCAGCCTTCATAGCATCTCATAACCATTTCAGATGCAATCAACGTCTTGAGGAGAGGGAAGAAACCCAAGTTTGGGAGTAGATCTTTATCCAGCCAACAAGTAGTACAACGGTCATAGGCAGTAATGTATATGCTCCCGGCTCCCCAGCACATGTTGCTACCTATCACAATCGAACATTTAAGTTGTCGGTGCTGTAGCTGCGCAGGCGAAGACGGGTGCACCACGGTTGAGGCCAGAAGATTGCTCTAGTGAAATGCTGGGCAGCCCTGTTCAAGCTATCGAGTCTAGAGAACACTCGATGCAGTGGGCTTTTAGGTTCAAGCTCCTGGCCTTACTGCTAGGAGCAAGGACGCTATTAGGGGCTCCTCTCGATGCAGTGGAGTTTTAGGTTCAAGCACTTCAAAATCGGAGATGGAGGGATCTTGGCACAAGACACAGCAGAATCCAGCAAGTTCAAGATGTACAATGTACAAGTTCTTCCTTGTGCTTTGAGAATCTCATGGGGATGGAGGAAATGTGAAAGTTTGATTACTCTAAGTTTGCCTCATTTTTGCTGAAGTGGGGATGAATGCATAATAATGCAAGAGCAAACCCTGCAAATCCCTGCAAAAAAATCAACTCAAAGATATTCAAACATACCGAGATACCGTATCAGTCATGCGCCATGTGGCCCCTTTCGAAGCCTTCAACGAACGTCTCAGTTTTTGCAGCGAGCGAAGCCGTCGGCAGCCAAGACGGGCGGGCCCGCGAGGTCGTTAAAAACTATGTAGTACAAACGTGTTAAACACCCAGAGAACAGGTTGGGAAGTGACACAACCGGAGGGTTTGGTTCCCCCATGTGGCCAAGTGGCCTGGACCCAAAAGCTTGCATATGCGGGCAGTAGCAAGCCTCATTCGACAGATGGAGACGATGGACCACACCCTAGTCATTCAAGCTCGTCAACTGCAATAATAGTATGCACTTCAGTGGCTCACTGCATGCAAAAGACAGGAGTCAGGAGAGTCAGGAGATCTCGGAAGCATTGGAGTTTCAGCCAAGGACTGGATCTTGTAGCAGACTGCCGCCGTGTTTTTTCTGCCCACTCGCTTGAGAGGGAGGAGTCTGAAAGCGTGGGAGCGACGTATTGGCTTTCAACAGGAGCGACTCCAGCCTGTGCTTTGGAGCAGCTTGTTCTGGAGATTTGTGATTGGCATAAGGACCGACTAGGATTGTCTAACACATCTGGCGCTGAGTGGTGGACCTTGTGGATGGATGGTGAAGAAGATGATGTCGGCTGGCACTGGGATGCGGACTATGAGTCTCGCCAGCGAGGCGAAACAAAGCATCCGTCCTTGGGCACGGTGACATATTTGGAGGCCGGGGGCAGCGTAGCACCCACTGCGATACTTGAAGGTTGTCACGAGCCAGCCATTATGGCCGGCATGGGTTCCATCGTGCACGTGGCCCATTTGAGCTTGCCTGTTCGTGGGAAGCACATTTGCTTTGATGGGACTTTGCTGCATGCGGCCCCGGTTGAGCTTCGGGATGCCTTCAACTTCAGCTTCAACGCTTCCGATAAGCTGACAGGCAAGAAGAGGTCGACTCGAACCACCTTGCTGGTAAACATTTGGTGTGGCCATGTTCCCAGAGATCCTCAACGTCTACCAGCAGAAATGGCTTCAAAACTAAGCCCGGTCACAGTGACATCATCCTTTGGTTTGGGGTCCTCCAAAGTGTCTCCATCTGTGGAAGTAGTAGTTGGTCGTGGTGTTCGGGCTCAGGAAATGTCTTGGTCATTCGGAGAGTTAGACAACTTCTCTGTAGCTTTGTCCATCCCGGATACTCCCACAAAAGCCGACAACTTAACTTTGCGTTTCACTGACGGCCGCTGTGGATGTGTCGGATAGATGTCCCGAGAAAAACAGGAAAATGCAGACAAAAAGAGCGTTGATTTGCTTCCGTTTTCTCGTGCGGAAAGTGTCGACATTCAAACGGTTGTTGCCGTTGTCAAATTGAGCGCATCCGTCCACCACAGGTTAGGCTCTCCACGGCCGCATCGGGACTTGTTTGGGCGAGTGACCTCCACTCCCAGGAGGCCAGGGGCTCGACTGGATTCAACAAGTAGAAGTGAAGCACCAAGGTACGAGATGTGTTGGATACTGCTGTGCACTGGAATGCTCACCCTGAAGACATTTTGGATGCAACCTCGGGACAAATCGGGACAACATCTCGTCAACATTCGTTAACCATCTTTGGACTCGAGGATTGAGTGCGCCAATTGGCCATTGCTGGCGCAATCAGTGTCCACAATTTTTCTGTACACCGTTTACACCGTTACACCCTTTACACCGTTTACACTGGCCATGGCACAGTTGAGGATGCCATCAATGATTATGCATGATTCTGCCATTGTCACCACAAGTCATTCATATATATATATATATATGTATATATTTCTTTTTTACGAAAGCCAGCCGATAGGCTAGGCTTGAGCTTTTAGACCGAACGAAGTGAGTTAAGGGGGTGCGGGGGGGGGTAGGAGGCGAAAAGGCACCATTTGAGAGGGTGAACCCGGAGCTTGCCTGGGGAGAGCGCGCCAAAGCGAGGGTCAGAAAAGCAATGAAAATTGGGTCTGGTGATGCGAGTGATGCAATGGGCGCCGAGTAGTACATCATTAGCATCACGAAGGGCTGAGGCTACGGCTATATGGACAATGGGCATTGAGCACTGGAGTGGAGACAGGCACCCATGTACAGAGCAACCATCCTAGTCTCTACTATACTTGAGAAGTCTGGTTGGATGTATTGGGGCCAGTATGGTAATTGGTTGGCAGCGACGGGTGCCTATCAGAAAAGGGGCCCGTGTAGATAGCAACTTGGTGGGGTGAAGAGATTGCTGTTTGAGGATGGGTTATAGTCACGGATCTGTGGAATATTTTTGGATGACGGTTGGTGACACCAATGCTGAGGCATATAGTTCCTGCCATCCTCCCAGTCATGGACGCAATGGGGCAAGTATAGTAGTTGGTTGGCAGCGACAAGTTGCTATCAGAAAAGGGGCCCGTGTAGATAGCACCTTCGTGGGGTGAAGAGTGTTGTTTAAGGACTTGTTACAGCCACGGATCTATGCAATATTTTTAGGATGACGCTTGGTGACACTCATGTTGAAGCATACAGTGCCTGCCATCGTCCTAGTAAGCATGTGTTACTTAGATGGTTTCTTCTTTTGACCCTCTCGTCTGGCGGCTGCTGGCTTTCGTTCCCCCCTTCTGAGGTATATATGTGTGTTTAATATATGTATGTGTGAATGTACATATAGATACACAGGTAGACATACATGTCTTTTAACTTATTACATATACACATTGCTACTGATAAAAGTGCCTCCATTAGCACACATGGCGGAAAGTCTCGGACGGAGACGGCCTTCGATAGATAGACATCGCTTCTTCAACAATTGAACACAATCTCATCCCTACTAGTAGCAAAAGGGCATCGCTAGTGGGCTAACCTGACCAGGAGCGGAAGAGAGGCGGGCAAAGCGCGAGGATTTTCGCTCAAGTTTGTTCCAGACATTTGCGTGGAAGCACTCAGCGAAATGTTTGCTGTGGTTATGGCATCAGAGGTTGGTCTTTGTTTTGTTGCGCAGCTTAATTCAAGACCCAGTCCCAAGCACACATAAGCAGAACAGCACCAAGCATTTTTTTGACCAAGCCCTTTATTGTATAATTATATAGTTATTTGAGCACTTTCGCATGCGGCACATGAGGATGGATCAGGTTGAACCATATGCCAATTGAGCCACCATCGAAGCCTCAAGACCAACCAGAATTCATCGGTTTCAATGGAGCCAACATGGCGAAGAAAAGCAAGGGCAAGAGTGGGCCAGGCAGGACACACCAGCAAGGTCAACTCTGAAAAGTTATCACGGTGGATATTGATGTTCAATGTTGCATTGTCAGGTCACGGTCATTTGGACCAGACTGTTCTTTGATACCAACATGTTGCAATGGGGTAGCGGAGGTTAGTGGTTCATTGATTGCATAACTCCAAAACCCCCCGAGCAGCCCTAACATATATTCTAACCCATATTCGCCCCAATTCAAGTCATCAAGTTTTCACCTACTGTTGCAGCACTGCAGGCTTTGCGCAAAAGGTGCTCCTGGCGCTCTCAGCTCTTCTGCTTGTGGCCGTCTTCAGCTACACCTGGCCGCAGGAGCCACTGCTGCCTCATGCCTCAGCAACTAACAAAGGTGAGACATCCATGACAAAGTATGACACTTCTGGAGAGGAGGACGTCCAGACAGTGCAGGAGATCGTTCCTCAAGTCAGGCACGAGGGCGATGAGAAAGTGGGGTGGGAATGGGATGGAATAGGTGCGATGAGGGAGCGATGAGAGACATGAGACAAGATCAGTTTCGTTACCAAGGTCACGGAGCGGCAAGGGCCGCAAGAAGCGACACAAGAAAGCAGATCAAGAAAGCAGATCTTCACCCGAGGCAGGGCCCTCACAAGCATGGCCCAAAAGGGCAAGTGGAGGAAATCGCTATTAGGTTGGAGGGCAAGTGCCACACCGCGGCAACCTCGCAGTGTCGCTTTCAGCTGACCGTAGGATGCATGAAGCATGGCGTAATCTAAACGTTCCAGTGCGGTTGGGATTTTCATGGATTTGAGGAAGATTGAGGACCATCACCTAGTTTGGCTGCTTTGGAGGAAGCATCGCCCGAGACACCGGGCTCAGATGGGGCAATAGGAGCCAAAGAGGACAGGGATTCTGCCAAGTTGGAATGCTTCATTTAGTACATTTAGTGTTCCAAAGCTTGACTTGTTTCATCTCGATCAGGATAACCAGGAGAGCGGCCCAGAGGCTACCCAGCCACCAACACATGAGGTGGGACCCAACACGACCAGAAGAGTTAAACATTTGGCGGTGCAATCCCTTGGTGTTTTTTGCAGGAGCCAAAGCCGCTCCACACAGTTGGTGAGGCGCGCGAATTGTGAAAGCCTTCAATTCTCAAAGTAGAGCGAAGACTTGCAGAAGCTGCACCCACAATGGAGGGCCAACACTGGCAACGTAGTGTCAAGATTAGATGTGTGGAAGTCCTGAGCTCGTCAATACTTAAAGGAAGAATGCGGCCGGCATCGAAATGAGGTGAAGCCCACCTGGATCTTCTGTGCTGGACAATGGCAGGAGTGCCTTTGCGGAGGGCGTGTGAAATGGGGCAACGACGACAAGTGGAAGATGATTGAGCTGCCAAAGGACAGGTGTTGGGCAACTGGGAAGCTGTGGCCTAGGTATGGGCTTGGTCAGCTCTTCTTTTGCCATGGGCCATGTGTGGTTTTAATCCATTGGTTCCAACCTCAACCACACCGACCGGATCCGCCAGGACAAAAGCATCCAGAAAGTTATATGCAGCATAGTCTCTTGGACACAGGATGAGGTGTAGTTCCAATCCATGGGGCATAGCAGAGCCTCAATTTGCTCATCCAGATGGTAAGGACGTACTCGGCGACCTCATTCCAGGCGATGGTGGCAAGCACTGTCAATGTGAGGTCACACCAGGTCCCAGCGGGGGATGGTGGCCAGTGTTTTTGCACTTGATGCATCTCCTGAAATAATCGCACTGACTCTTTGGTTAGTCGCCTTGACAAGATTCTAAGAATTGAACGTTGCGAGGGACCGACTTCTACTGGCGCTTGAATCCAATGCTCATGCCTCGTGAGCTGGCTGATTCTACTGGATCCAGGCAGCTTGGCCATGCTGTGATTGGACCAGTGATTTAGCAAAGACGCATGTCAAGGCTGTGGAGGCTGGAACAGAAAGTCTTTCACTTGCTTTTTACATCTCTTTATCTTTACCCTTTACCTGTTTACCTACAGTCGCCGTGGCAGGCTAATCTCCTCCTGCGAGATCTTTGAAGAAGGGCAGGGTACGGTCCCAGGAGGTTTGCAATGGCGCGCAACCGAGGCGTTCCCGGGTTGCATTCTTTTTGGACAACCTTAAATAAACCCGGAACGCCGGTGTTCAGGAATTTTTGCTTGCATCCCGAAATTCGATACAGAATCGCCCTGGTAGAATGAGCAGAGCTTGAGCATTACTAAATGATCACAAGTTGACACTAACGAGAACAGTCAAGTCGTAACGACAATCAGCGGCCCAGGTTTTGCTCAGAAGCTTGGGAGTCTCAAGCAGGAGCACCAGCACCCACCGGGTGATGTTCAGTGGGCGCCCTCAATTGAAATGCACAAAATCAATGGTCGATACAAGATCATCGGAGAGTTCTGTTTGACAGGACGCAATCCTGCCCTGAAGCCTGGCACCAAACGAGTGGAGCTGAGACTCTTGGCTGACCCGAGTAGGCCTGAGTAAGGGGGCGAGATCCACAGCAGATATCTGCCAGATATCACTAGATGATTCGGGGAAGGGGGCACAGTGCCAGTCAGTGCCGTCCACCAAACTTCTCCTACATAAATCACAGCTTCACCAAGGCACACTGCAAGATCTCATGAATGTGCGGATTGACGCTCGATTCTTGAAGACCTATGAGCGTCATATGGAGACGCGTCAGCATATAGAGACCTGGTCTGCTACGGCTCCAGGTTGGGCGACCAACGTGTTTCACAGTGGATGCTGTTTGGCGTGCTTGTCGGGCAACTGACGTGCAGCTTTTCATTGAGGACGACGATGGCTGGATCCCTCGTGCCTTTGTGATATAGCTGCAACAAGCCTGAATCATCCTTTACAATCTTTAGGTCGAGTGCTGGTCCCGAGAACCCCTATGGCCCTATGGCAAATGTCGTGCTTCAGGTTGGGCTCACAACAAGTCACAAGTGGAATCATGTGAAATCATGCAAGTTCCCAAGTGGAAAGCTCCATCCACTGCTTGGGTAGGCATAGTAGGCCATAGGTGCGTTCCTCACTGAAAAGGCTAGGGAACAAAACCAGTTGAAGTGGGCAAGGGTCAACTGTCAATCCTGGTGACGCAAAACAAAACAGGTTAAAAAGGGGCTGCAATCTCTTTGAGGATACCTCTGCACTCTCAGCCTTGGGCTGACTCATTGATCAAGCCATTTACGCTTTACAGTTACGGATTATCGATCTTGGATGTTGAGCTTCTTGAGAAGATCTTGTGTTTTGCTGGGCCTCCCAAACGTTGCGCTTTTTTGAGAGTAGAAGTGCCCCTATAGATTGTCCTAATCGTCATTTGCAAGGTGAATTACTATGCAGGAGCACCAGATGGGAAGCACACTCTTATGAGTCTCTCGTATGCAGTTTCCCAGGTGTGCGTGTCAGTTTCGCTCTCACATCGACTCAGGTGATGAGCTCATCCGCTCCGTGCATTTGTTCTCGAATGAGCTCATTGTTGTGTTCCATTTGGGCAGCTTGACTCCTGCAACTTGCCTCATGCATTCTGATGAAACTTGATGCCCATGGCCCATGACAGTCTCCAAGAAAGAGGAGTTCTCAAAGGGGCAGGACACAGATGCGAACTTGGTGGATAAGTTGTGGATAAATGGAGTCCGAAATCGTGCAGCAAACATTAGCAAACTGAGGACACCTGGACCCCAGAGCGCTATCCTCGTTTGCTGCTCATGCATTTGGCACCCTTGGGGCCCAAAGTTCAGAAGAGCCGCTTGGAGTTGAGCTAGTATACTATAAAAGTATAAATTCATATAAATTATAACATGCTATCAAAGGAGAAAGTGCTCTCACAAAAGCTGTAGGTTTGTAGGTAGCACGGTGGCACCAACATGTATAAAGCACCATCCGAGAGCGACTTGCAGTAGCAAGGGGGTTGTACTAATTGAGGATGTGTTCGCACGTTCTTGGTCTCTCACAACCCTTTGCGCCTTTGGAGGTTTCAACTACAACAAGCTTCGTGCTATGCTCATCTCTCGTGTTCGTGTTGGGGTGCAGCTGGACTCCGATCAATTTGTGGCTCCAGGCAGTGGGGGTATGGAGTCCAGATGGGGAGTCCTGAATGGGCGAAGGGCGTTTGTTCCACTTCATGGGCCAGGGGCGGATTACATGTTCAACATGACGGAGCGGGAGATTACAAGAGAATATCCCATTCCAATCCTGCCAGTGCACTACTTCAGCCACTTGGAGGTTGATTCATGTTGATTCCCAGTTCAGCCAACCCTTGTCACGACTGCAACTCATTGAAGCATCCTGGACATCTTGATGGCAAAATTCAGCTGAAACGCCCAGGTTTCACTCAGAGGGATGCGCCTTCGAACATCTGGTGGCGTCGTCAGCTCAGATCGAGGGCCAGCTCCAGCTATTGACCAAGGCTGCAATCAAGTCAAGTGCGGCAGCTTCAGCACAGAAGCAATGAGTGTTGCAGTTGATGTTCGTCCATATTCTAGGCTAACAGTATGGGCATTATCTTGACGGCCACCAAGGCCGCTTTTGCCCCGACCCACCCAAGTGCGAGCTTCACTCCATGCGATGGAGTCACGCACATCCCACTTGGACCTTTTGGGCTTTGCCATGGATAGGACTCGGCGCGTAGAGTTCATCTACAAAGTGGCAATGAACAATGAATTCTAAAAACACGGCTTGGGACTTGGGACGGCTTGAAGTGTCGACCCTGTCGACCAAACGGCCTTGATTCTTTACTTTCCCAGAAGTCAAGCGAAGTCGAGGGAGGGTAACCTAGGAGCAAGGACGCTACTAAAGGAGCTCCTGGCCTTACTACTAGGAGCAATGTTTGCTATTAGTAGAGACGCGATGAGAATGTGACCTTGCCGATTCTCCCGGCGATCGGTGCGCAGGAAAGTGGCTCCGGCGTCACTTCCGTGATGAAGAGCTCACGATGGCAGGGGAGAAGGGCGCTTTGCGGATAGCTGACATCCCCGAGGCACAAGAGTTTGCGGACAGCTGGCCCACACTACTTCTTTTTGGTGGTCGGCGACATTTGCTGGAAACAGTCGACGTTTACAAGTGAAATATGATGAAATATGATGAAATATGTATTCATGATTATTCATGTTCATCCCCCCACTGAATGTTTGCCACACGCTTTTGCTGACGTGTTGCCAAAGGACGAGGACATGCTCAACGTAGCTGCCTGGGAGGACAAGGCTGGAAGCCAGATGGCTTTGGGAGGATGATATATATATATATATACAGTAAACATGCTTCAAAAGCTGGGGGCTTCAGAAGCACTGGGCTACCAGCAAGATGTTGCATGTGTTGCGCTACATGCAATGAGCTTTTGTGCAGGTGACGAAGCAGTGGTGCAAGTTTGACAACGCGCCCTGGCCATGACGTAGCGACACAGCGAGTGATGCAAGAAAAGAGAAGGTGCCACCACGCACCATTCCAGGTCCTTAAACGTTCCTTATCACATGGCCCTTAGGGAAAAGGACGCTACTAGGGGCTCCTGGCATCGCTACTAGGAGCATTCTTACTACTAGTATCCGCGGATCGCTCTACTTCAGGATCGAACAGAGTTTGAAGAGACGCTTGGCTGATTGTTTTGATTTGCTCACAGTGAAGCAAATTGAACAAACTTCACAATGATTGAGGGAAAAGCTCAGTCAAAGCGAGTAAGAACTGTCAAGAATGAAGATGAATGAAGTATTATGCTGCAGGCTGATCAAATGGGATCCTTCAATGGGCACGAAGTGTCCACCCGGCACTGGCTGTTCCAACATCATGGCAGACTCGCGATTCTACCCCAAGGGCGCCGCAAAGGCCAGGAGGTTTCAATTGCCGATCGTGCCGGAACATCAACCAAAGAATCCAAGAAGAGGCTGCCCTGAAACCAACCTTGAAGCCACGCAATTTGCGACTGCTCCAACCCAGGCGCACTTCACTGCGCACAACGCCAAGGACCCCAAGGAGACAGCTAGGCCCTATGTGAATCATGTTTGTGTGTCTTGTGGACATTCTGCCTTTCTACCGAAATGTTTGCGCATGCTATTGCAGTACTGAGAAAGCATCTAAAATGCTGGTGAAAAAATGGTGGTCACTGCTTCACTGTTAGAGCTTGGATTGTCCACCTTGAGACCTTGTAACATTGTATGACCTTGTGCATTACACCCGCTTGGGACCTTCAGCCGCAATCTTGAAGGTGGATCGACCGAATCCATGCTCGTTACAAGAAGGGCCTCTATCCCACCAAAGTTATTGTCTATCAGGCCAGGGGAGATGATGGCCTTAGAAGACATCACGCTTTGGGGTATCCAATTCAATCAAGAGAAGAGAAGAGAAGCACTTTGTTTGTTTATATAGTGTTTGTTGGTCCTGGCAGTTGGCGAAAGATGCATGACTTTGAATCTTTGTAGTGCGGTGGCTAGAGTCGCGTGGCAGTTTGCACTATGCAGCGGCATCCTTCCGGCAGTTTCCACTGACAGGGCCGCCTGTTCAGCTCCGGCGAAGAGCTTCGCAAAGAGTTTCCCACGATGCCCTGCATTTTATGAAGATCAAGATGACTGGCTGGCGGACTCTACCGAAAAAGGAGGCTCCCATGGTTGTTTGCTTGCCTTTGTACATGTGCTTTCACTGCAAGTCCAAATTTGTAAGATTGTGTATCCGTTCCGAGTGGTGGACTTGTTCTGTTTTGGAGTTCTTTTCTTCTCTAAGAGGGTTTTCAAGACCCCACCTTGTGGTTTGTCGCGGCAGGCAAAGCTGGACACTCAGACAGCTGACTGGGCAGCCAAGCATGCCGACTTTGCAGACAAAAAGTGCTGCCCAAAATCATCCAAAATCCCAAAATCTTTGCAGAGCCAAGCTGTGCCAAGCTGTTTTGGGTTCAACTCCACTGTGAACAGTGAACAGTCAGCCTTTACTCCCTGCCAGGTTCAGAAACCGCCGAAAAGCAATTCGTGCCCTCTCATGGCAGTGTGGAGCTCTCCACGAATAAGCATGGTCAAGCACTTATATATGGTGCACTTTTGCCGTCCATGGTAGGTACAACTCGGAGGGACAAAGGCCCCGAGAGGCACTGAAGTCAGCTGCCCGAAAAATGAGCATGCTAATGAGCAAGTCGGCTTCCGAAGACAGGATGCCGGTCAAACGAGAAAGGGTGATAGAGTGTGATAGCAACTGTTTGGCACAGTCCTGGTGGAGAGCTGCTTCGTTGGATGACCTTCGACGTGAGCAAGGTGGAGACCCGGTGGCATGGCATGATCTGACACAAGGAATCACCGACTTTTGGGCGCAGAAGATCAAACCAAATGATATTGCCTTACTTGTTATTGTTGGTCTATGAAATGCCAATGCCTTGACGCAATGAAATGAGAGTTTCCGGGTGTCATGCCATCTTGCGGCTGGCGAGGCGTGAGGCCATCCACCAGTTTGTGCTCAAAACAGGCAACTCCGCGCATTTCTGTTCTGAGCGAGTGGAAAGGGTCGGAGAAGATTGATCAGCTCATGAGCCAATTATTATACGCGTTGCCATTGCAGCGCTACTTGTGTTTAATGGATATCGATTGATGCAGATTGAGCAAAGTTGTCTTTGTGATTTTGTTTGTTGGCCTTTATCACGTGTCAGGCAGGGACCACTGGCAACAGCACAGGTGGCAGACTTATCAGCTTGCGACATTTTGGAGTTGAGCTGTGGCGTTGACGACTCTGCAAGCTTGTGCAAGTTTTGACGTGATTGCGGTGCAGATGTTTAAAACATGTAAAACATTTACAGTACAATGTCGTCGGCCCCTTCAAGCCTTCAAGATGCGATTCAAACGCAGGAGTCCTTCACGGATCCATCATTGCGTTCCCTTTTCGCTTGAACCATCCCAGGCATCTCCTTGTTTCGTCAGGCCCAGAAGAGGCCAAAGCCAAAGCCTTGGCAGAGGCCGTGTGAAAGCGTCATCAGGGCTATGAACCGACAGCAAGCGAGAGATGCAAAAATGCCGCATAAACATACAGTAAATGAATAAACCATTGGCAAATCAAGAGAATGCAGTCTAGCACCTTGACACTGTGCAGTCTAACACCCGCCTCGCACTTGCGCATTTGCTTCCAGGACCACGGCCCTGTCCTTACGTCACGACCACAGCGGCGAACAATTGCTGAGCCCAGAGGGAAGGTGCAGACAAGCCCATTGTATTCGGGCTGCACTCAAATTGAATAAAGATTGACAGCGAATGATTGATGCTGTCCTTTCTTTGACCATTTGGTGCCACAGCATCCGTGCGTTCGTGCGTTTGAATGTCCAATCGGTTTGCCACAGTCCGAAAAAGATGTTCAACGGCGTGAGGCTAACCAGGAGTCGACAGAGGAATGCAGATTCTTCCGCCCCTTTGTCATTGATGTGTTGCGAAAATGTTGCACAGATTTTGGGAGGACTTTGCCTGGAAAAGAAGAAACCATAACCATTCTGCTACAAATGCCAGTTGGATGATTGGAAGATATTGGAAGATGTCAAGTAATTTTGAGGTTAGTTTGAAAAAATATGCTTTTGCTCGGGTGGCTTTTCCCTTGTTAGCTTCTTACTAACTTACCTTCTGGCAGATGGCAGATTGCCCACCCCCCCTTTTGCACGTTGTGTGACCTGAGTAGCTCGTCGCTTCCTATGTTTGGTCTCACTGTGCCAACCCCCAACGTGCGCAACACAAGGGTGACCAAGCCCTACTTTGGCTTGAGGCACAATTGAAGCTTGACAACAAAATATGAATATATATATATATAATATATATATATGTGTGTTTTTGGTTCAACAACCAGTCAGAGGTGATTGAGTAGGGGGCCGGGCTTCAGGCATATACCAGGTATTCATTTTCTATGTTGGGAAGATCGCCTTGAGATAGTGTGGAGTACCAATGATGGCAGACAAGATCAGACAAGCCTTGTGTGGCTTGTGGCTTGTGAAACTGGATATGTATTTGGAGCATCCATGGAATCCATGTTCGGAAGCAAGACGGCCTTTGTACCTGAGAGAGGCCCGCTTGTCCAGTGTTGGATGTTCGTTTTTGTGAGGCGATCCGCCAAGACAAAGGTCATCAGCCCAGAACTTCTGGAAGGAGCTGAGGGGCAGGGCCTGGAAACAGAGAGAAGGTGGACAGTGCGGACCAGGAAAAAGCGGGCACATTAAAACACTGCTTGTATAATAAGCGGTGACCATTCGGACCACTGGCTTGGGATTTAATTCCCGGAGCATGGATATCAAGAGCTTGTTGGAAAGCTAAGCACCAGGCCTGCATGCCTCCAACCATCCTCATCCTGGTCCTAGTCAACCTTCTTCCCAAACGCTTCTCTTGGCCGTAGTTGTCAAGGCGCCAGAATTTGCGCTCTCAGGAGGTGCCTGCAGCGGGGGCAGCTTCCGCCCACAACAGGCCGCCAATGCCCGCAGTCGGGGCTTCGGCCCCAACTGAGCGATTTTTGAGACAAGAACTGAGGCGCTTTGACACGCCAGCCGGCACAGCTGCCCTGATGGGCATGGGCCACTCAGAGATTGTGCAGCATGGGCACGTGATCGTGCATTTGCCACAAGCAGAGAAACTGTTTGAGAAACTGGGCATGCTTGGGATAACACACTTGTGGCCGCAAAACGCTGTGATGGCGCATTCTCATTCTCGTACCGTCGTGGTCCTGGTAGGTCGAGCGCGTTCTCAGACCCCTGACTACCACCGACGCTATGCGAGCAATGCCGTCGGCCGACACCTGAAGATCTCCTCCTTGTCCAGAAATTGCAACACTGGGAGAGTATCAGCATTCATGTTCCACTGCAGTTCGAAGCGACAAATATCGACAAATATAATTAGATATTAAATGTTGCCCCTCTTCGAGCTGTGGCTTGTAATCTGCCGCCTGCAACGGGCAACAAATGTTCACTGAGTTTCCCAGCTTTGCATTGCTGGTCCTATTTCATTTTTCCCAGACAGATGTTTGGTTGGTTTAAAGTGAGCCTGAGGCTCATCACTTCCGGGGTGTCAGCTCACGCAGGCCGTGGCACTAAAAAGACCTCGTTTTCTTTTAAGAATTGCATAGTCGTGACAAGCCAGGGCAGTGGTCCATGCGAAAGCCCTTCGTGCTCGCAACCAAGGAGGCCCACCTCGCCAGTGGAACATCAAGTCTTTCTTTTCAGATCCATCTCGATTCCTCATCACACAGACCTACTGTATCATGAGACATCAACTTAGACGGTGCTTTTTCCGTACAGGTCCACGCCATTTTTTTTGCAGACGTTGACTGCTCAAAATGTTTGCCATGGGACTCCGCTTGGCACTGCTGCTGGTTCTCGGACTTTTGGGGGCCGCCTTGCGTCCTCATGTGCCCTGGCACTTTCAGAAAATGCTGCATACAGGGAAGGTGATGTGAGTGCTTCGAGGAAAAACGAGAGAAAAGGATAGAAAAGGAGCACATCATCAGTTGCACATTAGAGGTGTGGTGTGGAGGAAGTTAGAGAAAAGCGTACCGGAAACTTTGGCAGGCGTGTGTGATGTCAAAATGGAAGTTCGCTCCCTGCAAGCCGGGAGCGATGTTTCTCCAGCAGAGTCACTCCTACATTCCTCATGCGCAGCAGGCATGATCCCCACCCATGTCTCGCCACATCCCCACATACCTTTGCCATCGATTGACAGTCCTTGACTCCTGAACATAGACTTGCACCAAGGGATTTCCTTCACAAATAATTAGTCATTCATATAGTGTTCTTTCACTATCGCTTTGAGCTTTGGAGTGACACCGACACAGCTTTGGAGTGCCACCGAACTGGTGTTTGCAGCTGGCTTTGTCATCCAAGAACATTCATCGCATGACCATGTTCATGACCGAAGAGCTTTCCGCAAGAACAGGACTGGCCATCAAAACACAGTCCATCACAGCAGAATTGGTGAAATAGGTTTTGGAAGGTAGACATGAATCGACCAACAAAGAGCCATGCCATACAGATCATACAGAGGATTCGTGCCATTCAAGGTCCAATAGAGGTGTGTTGTTTATTGGAATCTACTAATAAATTGTATGCATAGGGTCCAAGTATGCGGTTTGCAAAGGTTGGATTGCATGGCGGCTGAGGAAATCTCCAACAGATCAGCCGAATCACCAGAAGATGAAGATGACGATGATGAGGATAGTGACCCAGAGGACGAGGAGCGAGAGAGAGATAGAGAGAGAAAAATAAAAGACGGAGGAGGGGCTATGGGTGCTGGCACCGTCCAGTTGAAAATGTGGTCACGACGAGCGTGTCAGGGCCTGGACGACCTTGTGGAATCGATCATGGAAGCTACCTGGCTCAATCGCACTGTCAATGATGGTCAAGGGTATGCCAGATATGCCAGCAACAATGCAGTGCAGATGGGCCATGGGACACTGTTGTGGAGGTGTTGTCAGGCTTTGTTCAATGCATCCCAACACAATAAGCATGAGGGGCATGGTATGGACTACACGAGCACAAATGTGAACGAAAGTTACCAACGGAACCACTGAACCACTCAGCACCATGAAAACCCGAGAAGGGTGCAACATGGTGCTACAAAACCTCCTCAAGCCAAAACAGCCAAAGTTCAAATGGACAAAAAAATGGAGAAGTGAGCAACACATGCAATAAATAGCCAACGCGATCAGTCCACTGCAAGAACCCGACGGGGCTCTCAGGTGTTGTGCAGGTGCTGATAATGATAAGGATTTTTCAGAATGCGTTGTTCTGTTGATTTGGTTCTGCTGGCCTGGCCAATCGCTTGTTGTAGTTGCTTTGCCCAAACACTGAAAACGGGTAGTCAACGGTGGCCGGTAACCTTGCGGTCTCCCCAATCGCAGCGATGCCCTTGCCGAGGCATCTCTCGTAGCACACATGTTTGGAGTTCGCATCCAACGCAAAGCCGCGACTGTGCAAATTCAAACACAGATCCCATCGCACAGAAAATCCAGTTGCCCGCCTTTGCCCACCAAGTGCATGCGCAAAGCAAACACTGGTCCCGTGTCAATTATGAAGTGACACAAGTGTACATTCTGTGCTACCTAGGATGTAGGATTCTGGTCTTGAGTGGGGATTGGTCACGAGCTGTTTGAATTCCATGTCGGGCGGAATTCCAGTACAGCAAAGGACTTGGAAGATGTGAAGTTCGAAGACGTTTTTCCTGAAAAGAAAAGGGAGGAGGAAATGATCCCAGTGGGAGAAGTGAAATTTACTCCACAGGCGGGAGCCCATGATTCCACTCATGGCACGTGGCGCTTGCGAGAAGCACTCCGCACAGGACACATAGCCTTTCAATATGCCAGATAGCTTGTTACTCTGCAGGAAATTGAGGAAATGCTGGAACATATGCCTGATCTGGATGAGGAGGAGGAGGAGGACCTTTAGCACTTCACGGCTACGTTACTTCGCACGTCCAGGGCTGGTTTGGCAACTGACCCTTTTCAACCATGTTGTTCACACCAGAGGGTGTTCGGAAGGTTTTGTGTCTCAGTTGCGTAAGTGTGCGACGTAGACCAACTAGAAACTAATGTTTGTCCACAAAGCACGGTGTATGGAGATGGCAGGATGTCATCACAGACGGTGACACGGATCAAGATCAGCCTGATGATGTGTTTCGACTGAAAATTTTGAAGTTGATGTCTTGATGCGGGCACAGTTGCAGGGTACCTAAGTTTGCCAGTCAATAACGGCGCCCCTGCCAGTCAGAAAGCATTTTGTGCCAGCCATGTTTGTTCAAAACAATCAATATCATTTAACATCATTTAACAATATTCAACATCCCAGCCCCCTGAATTGAAGTTTAAGGCTGAAGGCGACATTGCAATGTGTTTCTTTGTTTCTGGTTTTTTGACTGGGGAGTGGTGAACAAAAGTAACTCACATGTTGAAGATATCTGGATATGTTTGTGTGGAGGCCAGGGCAAATAATCCATCCCCCTGCCCATGTCCTCTATGAAATGGGGGCCCATATAAAACGTTTTAGAATCGCCACCCCCTAGGGGGTCAGGACCTCATCTTACAGAGAATTGCTTGTTTGTGTGTGCAAGAGCTTGATGTTGCTTTTGCTGTACTGTACTTTCAAGCACCATGACGTGGCATGAGATGAGCCAAAAACAACAGGTGATGTTGTTGCCAGCATATATGAAAACATGCACCGAAGGTGCTGAGGCGTTGTGGAGGCTCGAACAAAACGTAAGAAATCTGAAGGATTTATCCTAAGCTTGGGTGGCAGGGTTCATCTCTCAGCTCGGGAAACGCTGTGTGTTGCAATGTTTTTGAAGATTGATAACATAGGGTATGGTTTCGGACCAAACATTGGCGATGCCAGTTACGCAGGCAGCTGCGCATTGCATTATCGACATCGCGTGCGCATGCGCACCCCGCGAACAGCGCATTATTGACATCGTGGGTGGGTTCGTCCGTGTGTCCTGCCCGACCGTGACAGACAGACCGAGAGACCGAGACAGACAAACCGAGGCCAAGACAGACAATTGACATCGCACGTCCATGTGTCCTGCTCGATCGAGAGACTGACAGACCGAGACAGGCGCACCGAGACATAAACCCTCTGTGAAAAGGCTGGGGACTAGATAGGGCCATAGCGAAACGCTTCTTCACGCTTGAGCCCGGTTAACATTCCCGCCCGGCTCCGGCAGCGTAAGTTGCTAGTTCTCGGCTCCGCGAGCGCAGGTTGCTGCCAAGCCGGCAGGGTGCTAATGACACACTTTTCCCATCTATGCCGGATGTATGTTTGCATGTATGCATGTTTGTCTGCATGGATGGATTTCTATGTTTGTATGTGTGTGTGTGTGTGCTTGCTCTCCCTTTACTCTGTGTGGGCGGCTTCGACAGTGAAGCGGTGTGAATAAAAGGGAAGGATGAGGAGAATAATAGGAGAATTGTTGGGTGCTTGGGGCAAGAAAGCAAACCCAGCAGCACCCCTGCCTTTACAAAGTTTGTTTTGCAGTCCTCACGCATGAGCCCACTACCTGCTCTCCATAAGGGACATTGTCTAACACACACACACACCGCTCTAAAATGGGTGTCCTGACCCTTGCCAAGCATAGTTTTTTTGTTTCGCATTTCCAAGTCCTTTGCCGTCCTTTATCCTCTTTGCCACCTGCCAGATTCAATCTTATGATTTTCTCTTGGTTTCTTCATGTGTCTTCCCAGGCCTCCAGCGCTCCCCAATCCCCCATTTTATAGGTGTCCTGACCTTTTCTCCCCCATGTTTTAAAGGTGTTTTGCTTCAGGTCCCTCCGAATGAATTAGTTTCGTTAGTTTGGCCTGCCACCCAATACCTCTATAAAATGGGTGTCCCCGACCTCTCCTCACCCATTTTTCAAAGGTCTCTTGTCTTCAGCCAGCACGCACATCCTGGTTCGACCCCTGCTTTTGGGCAATGCATTATGTCATGTCAGAAATGCGTTCCCAGCTTTTGGCATCCCCTGCATTTCGAGCCGTGTTCCAGGCCCCTCCTAATTAGTCTGGCCCTCCCACCCAATACCTTTATAAAATGGGTGTCCTGACCTCTTCTCATCCATTGGTTAGGTTTCTTGCTATCTACCCCTTGCCACACCTTACCCACAACTGATGATGAGGAGAACTGTTTCTTCCTTTTGCTGCTGTTGATTATCAAGAAGTTTGACGATGTGTCCATGTAACGTAACTTTTGTGTTGGAAAGTTTGTGAATGTTCAAAGATGAAATCCGATTTTTCCTGGAAACTTTTGGGATGCTGGGGTTACCAAGTCTAACACTAGACTTAGAGAAGCTCAGACGGAGAATCTGAGTGCTCGGAAATAGACGATTTACTGCTTCTAATGGTGCACTCATGCTTGGAAATGACCTCAGGTAAGGTCATTCTAGGATTTTCCCATTTATCTAAGGTTCTTTGATTTAGGCTACCTTTGAAGGGACCACCATTTCATGCAATTAAAATGACAGAATGGACGGTGACAGGGCTATAACAATCCAATGCCGCCTTCTCAAGCCCCTCTGGACTCACTAAACTAGAGGAATGCGCTTTGCTGTTTGATGTCTTTTTGCAATAGTAGGGGTAGGTTCCGTACAAGGTGCTACGACGGTGAAAGCTGGAAAGCGGATGGCACAGTCAAAGCACACGAGTACCTCCCAAACCTGTATATAGACTAGAATAGTTTTTGTTATATATCATACATAGAGAGATATATAGAGCATATTTAAGTATATCAATTATATATCATTATACATATCATACACGTATGTATATATATACATTTTTTTTTGCACGGAGGGAGTCATCCTTCTTACTTGTTTGGGGTAACCCCCTCACAGAATGCAACTTGCAAACCTCCCCAATCAGGTAGAACTGAGCCACTGCAGGCCTGCCTGTTCTCAGCAAAATCTGAGAATTTGCTGGACTGGCTCCGCATTGCCAAGCATTCTCCAAACCACCACTGCGAGGCCCAGCTGTGAACATTGTGCCACTATGTGCCACTCAGACTTATGACTTCAATATACTTCAACCACTTCAACACTCAAAATCACCTCTTTGCAGCTTTGGCACCTTGTCCAATGTACTTTTTACGCATGGTCTAGAATAGACTTGATTGCATAGGCCAGGTTCTGCATTGACACAGCCAGCATGACCTCCACGCCCCAGTTTTGCGAAGCTGCGCGGCGCGCAGATGCTTGTGCAGGACTTCGGTCGTCGATTTGGTCGCTGGGGTGCCGCTGCTTGCCCCGACCTGCCCCTTGGTGAGCACTTTGGATTTACAGTCGTAAGGATCAATGCTGGCACCAGATTCGACATGAGTTTTGGCGGTGCAACTCTTGAGGAAAGACATCATTGCAGATGTGGAATCTGGCGCCAAAGTAGCCAGCGGAGGCAAGAGTGGCACCTCGCCACTCCGATCTTCAAAATTTGCACCTTGCCCCGTTGGTTGGATTGGAGACTGCTATGCAACAGATGTTTTTTTGATGACAACGCTGAAACAAGGATTAACAGATGGCGATTGTCAGGTTGTGAAGTTGATCGACCCCATTGAGCACAAAATGCTGCATCACTTGCTGCACAAGTTGAAAGGGTCCAGGCATTTTGAGCACCAAGCAGTCGCTAATCCCTTGAACACCAGGGACGAAAATGGAAATTGATAATCACGGTGAAACACAAAGGGGGACATGCAACTTTCCCGTGAGCTTCTCCTGAGAATCTATGCTTACCCGCCAGGCGCGACACTTTGCTGGCACCCACCTGTCGCAGCCTTTCCTTCAAGGCACTCAGTTGTCGAGTGCAGAGCACTGCCTAAAAACACTTATAACCATTGGAGAGAGAAAAAGGGTTGGAGCCCATGGTAAGATCCAACAGTGGTCCTGATACCTCAGACCGACAGATGCGAAGAACAATGTGTTTTTCCTGTGCTATGAGCCAGCAATGTATTTAACATGGTGCAAGAGTTGTGATCCTGGAAACATATCCAGGTGAGCTCTTGCACCAAGCAGGAGCAACTCCTGAACAATGATGACACAGAAATACAACAAGTTGAACTTTCAACAACACAAACCAGCACATACACCAATACATTCGTTGAAAATTAAAGACCATGTCAAAGAGGAAATGCAACAAAACTAGAAGCAGGCAAAGAAAAAGAACAGAACATAGGAAAAAGAATGGACAAGAGCATCATTGAAAAAAGATATGGCAATGGATAGGAACTGAGGCTATGGAGGGCACAAAGGAAAAGAAAGCAACGAAGTAGGAAGCGCCAATATCCATTTGGCTATGACAGCGGAGTGTAGCAAAACCAGCAGCGACATGGACTGCAAAAGAGAAAAGATAGAGAGAAATGAGAAGGCAAGAATCTCATGAGCAGACGTTACACGTGCAGACAACCGGGTCACCATGCAAGAGCCTACAGAGCTCCAGCACACCTAGGTGCAGTGACACATGTTTGCCCATTGCACTTTGCAGAGGAATGCCGACTCTGCAGCTAGATGCCATATCAACATGGATCAAGGCATACAGTCTACAGCTAACAGCTAGCAGCAGCTATCGCTGGGCCAAAATGCAGAAAAAACGCGGACATTTAGTGACGCAGAGCAAAGGTTTGCACTCGCAGTTCAACGATGCGTCAGAAATACAGTAGCGCACGACTAGAACAACCCTGGCACAGAAAGACACACCTTGCTATATGCAAGCGCCACCCGTTTCAGCAACACCACAACTTTCAACGACACCGCAACTGTCAATACCACCACAACTGGCACTGCAGGCGCTCGAAAACTCTTCAGCGGAGCTGCCTGCACGCCAAAGGATTGAACAAACGAGGACGAGAAAATAATGAAAAGAAGTAAAGATCTAAAGAACAAAGGTCTAAGGTACAGAAAGAAAGAGACCCTGCTACAGCTCCACAGGTCGGGAATGCCATCAAATACGTGCAGGTGTCGCCCAGCATTTTGCTTCATGGTGTCTCGGATGAATCTCCCGTCTACGCCCGATGTTGTCAGAGAATGTTTTGAAACACTGTTTTCTGACTACAGCACGACACGGCCATCAGGCAGAATTTGCAAAGTTCAAAGTTATACGCAGTTTTTGGCAGACTGGCTTCTGACAAGTGTGTGCCATTGGAGCGCTCGGATGCACGTCGGAGAACAGTTCGATGTGACCCCTCAGGTGCCAAAAGCGCAAGGTGGAGAAGACTCTTCGACCTCAAAGGGAACTATGGCTGGAAGAATCGGGTCGCAGGCATGAAGGAACAGGCACGGGAGATGTTGTTGGTTTTGTTTGATTTTTTTGGCCCTTAGAGTTCCCCGGACAAAGATGAAACTATCGGAAGTTAAGTTTCCCAAAAAGTGAGTGCGAGCGTGAGCTATCCTGCGTCCTAGCTAGGAGCTTCCTTTGCTAGTAGCGAACTACTCCCTTACTTAATTAAGTAGGTGCCTACTTAATTAAGTGTGGGCGGGCTAAACATAAAAGGAATAATGAAAAATTACAAAGATACCTTCTTTCTTAGTTCGGTTCAGGTCTGGAAAGATGCGAACTTCCGGCACTTCTTGCCTGCAGGCTTAAAGATCCTTGAGGCCAGGCCAACGAGGTGTTTTTCGCCTGAAATCTTACCTTTGTTTTTCAGCCAATGTCATATGGCACAGGTGGCGTTTCCAAAATCCGGTGGTGGCCATGAATTCTATGAAGGCGATGTGCCAGGGCATGTAGTAACCTTCAAACCTCTCTACTGAAATCGAGCGCTTGTTGTCAGCTACGGCCACTCTCTACATTCACAGCGTTTCTACATGCAACCAATGTGTGCACACGAGCAGCTACTAGCAGGAAGCAGGTACAAGATGAGCTGGTGGGGTGTGATTTGTGGTCCCAACCTTCAATTTTGCCGGGTTGCTACCGAAACCCATCGCAGCCTTAGCTGCACCATTTAAGCGCAGATAAAAGCGTCGCAGCCTTGACCGTACTATTTAACTCGTAATCCATCGTCGCATGATTGAGGCTTGGCTCATGATGTGTCAAAGTGGTGGATGATTTTCAGGTCGCAGATGAAGACCACATTTTTGTGTTAAGCTCATCATCATACAGAAGTTTTAACCCCTTCATTTCCTTGGTTTGCCACCAGGTTTCTTTTGCGATGTGCCTTCCTTGATTGTTTTTATCCCTCAGCTTTGCGCACGCAACGCTTCAGTCACATCCTCGGGTTCCGTTCTTTGCTCCCACAAGTTAGGTGCCGAAGGTGCGAATCGTTTCGCAAGGCCGGTGGACTGATGGGGGGAATAAACAACGGAACCATGTGAACCCTTTCAACTCATCATGTGCAATTCAGTGAGTGGACTGATTGGCACTATCAGTGCTCCTCTCAGTCTTCGCAGGATCATTTATCACGACGCTCGCTTGCTTGCAAGGTCCAGTGTGGAGCTCAGCTTAGCATTTGTGCACATTTTGGTTCCAACAAAAAGCTTGCTATCAGGATTGATGGACTACTCGTTGCTTCTTCACTTGGTACCAGTGACCACAGGCAACAAACTTAGAGAAGGAGACAAGGAAAACCAACTAAGTTAACGCGTACTTGTTAAATCTTGTCAAACTGAAAGCTGCGATTTGCACTCTTTGGAGAATCACAAAGTGTCTCTTCAGCAGCTGCTACTGGTATGCACGCTGACAAGAAGACTCGGGTCTTCTGAGTGTCCGGGCCACATAACATGAAGTTGATCTAGGAGGGCCAGACTTCAAGGAGCTCAACACAGACAAGCCCATGGCTACTGCGGCTGGAACGACTTTTGGTTGCAGATGCAAGGAATATTCGAACATTCCCACGATGCAAGGAATATTTATTCCCACACCAGTCGTTGCGCCCATCGCTGGAACCTGTAGCCTACAATCGCTGATTTCCTTAGGACGTCGTGTGGCTATAGGGATGGCAGCTTGCCAAGCACGCTCCACATGCATGTGATGTGTTTGTGTAAGCCTGGCAATCTTTCTGCCATGTTTTTACATGAGCGACATGGGGTAAGGCCAGGTGATTGCCGAGAGCACTGGGCTAAGAGCTCTGCCCTTGAGGCCACAGGCAGCCATTGACGAAAGCCTTCCCAAATTTGCTGCCACAGGCAGCTGACGCACGTCTCACAGTGGCTTCGCACTACCATGGCCATTTTCTGGCTGACAGCCCGGCAGCGCGCCTCCCGCAGGGGTAGCTCAAGCTGCTCCGCTCATCGTTCCATCCCTCTCATCAAAGGTTCGACGAAGAGGCAAGGAGGTGGCTGATGCCACCAAGCTTGCTAGCTCAATGTTACGGCATCCCCACCCTGTTAACCATGGATTTGAGGGGGGGCCTGAAAAATGTAACTTCCAATTTCCCCCCCTCCCCCCCCCCTGAAAAA